GCATTCTCGAGGCTTCAATCCACGAGGTGGATATAAGTGCTGCAGTCAGTAGTTATCCAAGAAAAAAATCTCGACCATGCCTTTCAAAAGGAGCCTTGAAACATTGAGTGAATTCTGAAGAAATAATAAAAGGACTGGGAATTTGATTCACTCTACAGGGCGGAATAGGAAAGCTGGACATTGCATTATGCTCACAAAGCTGTTGTGAAAAGTAAGCGAGTCACATACATATGTTCCTGTTTCTGTGAATTGTGAACCATTGCCTTTCGCAAATTATATGTTAGGCATTTTTGATTCACATGAATGCAATTTTTAGCTAAAGCTAAAATGGTTCACTTGCGCTGTATTCGTTAATGTCAATTTCCAGGTATACAATTGCCTCTGGAAAAAATGCACATCGGTTGCTTAATTATGCATGGCTCCAGTACCATCTCAGGTGTATCGGTCAAAATTATGAAGGGTAAACATACTACATCTTGGATCTATTTCTCACTTTGAATGATTTTTCGCTTGTTTAGTCCAATTGCCAACAGTAGCAGATGGATGTATGAGATGGTAAACGCCACTGACTTCTGGCTAGGCGACTTTCCCTCACAACAACGAGTAGATTTCATTTTTGAGTGTGGCGGGAGCGCTTCACTTTGCGTAATCATGTTGGCTTTGACCGTGCTGCCTATGTTTAATATGAGCATGGGCGCTTGTGGTTCCTGACAACTTACATTAGCCTTCCCTTCTATATTGCTTTGTCTAAATACAACTGATTTTACACTTATGTTCCATGTTCCGTATTTTGGTTTGCGCGTCGTATACCACCAAGAATAGGCACGGAAGGCCATGGTTGAAAGTAGTCTGCGTTCTTGAGGATATGCGGTACGTGATCATAGAACGACAAATGCGATCCTGTTCGATACGCTTTGCTTACAGGCACCCGTGGGAGCCTTTTATGCCAAAACCGTCTGGAAAGCCGTGCAAAACGGACGGTGATTGCAGGAAATTCGGTTGGAATTTTGAATGTTCGCTATAATGGGCCTTTGTTTTGCATCAAAGTAACTCGAAATATTGGATTGCGTGATTCTGAGAACTGTGTGAGATGATTCGATCGAAGTCAATCTTCCTTATCAACCTTGTACGTGATCAAATTCAGCTGGACTTCGCAGCATACCATTCTGTTCTATAAATGTAGCCACTACCAAAGATCGGGGTTCACTGTGCTCTGTTGTTCTGTTTCTGTGCTTGCTATGAAATAGTACGAGTTATTACTTCAGATATTGGCGTTTACCGGTCAACAACTAAAAAGTGCCAGGTACATGTGCAATGAAGAGCTGCTACGATGAATTTTGTCCTTGATTCCACCGAGCTGGTTCATCTGCAAAAAAGTACTTCACGCAGAAAACGTTGAAAGCCCTGAACAAGAGGGTGCGACACTTATTTGACGCACATTTCCATGGGCGCTCGGAGCTGCGCAACGAATTCCGGTAGGGGGAGGGTTGGATTCACGGTCAACCGTCCGTTCGCACTACTCGAACAAGGGGATTGTGTTTTGGGGATGAGCAAGGTTAATTACCTCTGGGAAGAGTATGAACGGGGGTGACGACTTTGGTGAATTTTATGAAAGTAGCGTAGGATAAAATTAGTGGATTTGCTACATCATGATACCTCAATGCGCTGCGCTCTCCCGCCTTAGTAGATCACCATGACCTCACACATTCGACCATTTGCTACACTGTAACTGGCTCATCCACCCCAGAGTCCCTCCCTCACCTCCAAGGCTTAGTAAAATGGCTCCAACCCTTCTGATTGGGATTCGAAGTCGAGCCAGGCACCGTATCGTCTGTGCTCTTCCCATTGGTGGCAGGACTATAAAAGAAAGTTCAAGTAATCCGTAACTACCCTCCCCCTCCCCCCCCCTGTTACGTGGGCGGAGTTGGCTGTGCCGACTGACCTCACCACCAGGTTCAAGTATAGAAAGAGCAATAATTGTGAGGGTGGCAATCGAGGTAGGGAGGACGACATCGTGGTGAAGAAGTCTCCTAAGGTTGATGGTGGTGGCTGGGGGTCGCAACATTTCTGAAAAGTGCGAACGCGACGGCTGACCCTGGTTGGATTTCTATTTACCAGTTCAGCTGCGTGCGCTACTGCTCGCATCACTCGGTAATTTTGCGTAAAGAATTAAAGCCACACAGCTGACGAACGCCTTTATTCATTTCCTGTTCCCTTGGTATCCTCCATTTCCTGTTCCCTTGGTATCCACATGCCCAGACCATCGCAAGATGCTGTTCCCGTACCTTCATACCTTATAACTACCTTATACCTTAGCCCCATCGTACATGTCCTTCACCAGGAGAGGTGTTCTGGCACGTTCCGTTCCCTGAGCGATCTCCATAGTACTGCTCGCGGTAGCCGGTCGAACGCCTTCTCCAGGTCGAGGAAGGCTAGGTAGCAGGGTCGGCGCTTTTCTCGATACTTCTCCATCACTTGCCTTGCGATGAAGATGGCATCCGTTGACCTTTCGGGCATGAACCCGAACTGTTCCTGGGAGATCGGGACCAGCTCCCGCAGCTTCGAGTCGACCAGTCGCTCGTACAACTTCATGGTATGCGCAGTCAACTTGATCCCGCGGTAGTTGGAGCAGTCCATCGCGTCACCCTTCTGCTTGAAGATGGGGACGATAGTGCTTGTTCTCCAGGCATCCGGCATCCTTCCTTCGGCAGTTACCGTGTTCAGGAAGCGGGTGAGCCACCTTACCCCGTGCTCTCCGAGCGCCTTCCATGCCTCTATTGGCACCTCCATCTGGACCAACCGCCTTTCCAACCTTCATCTTCCCAAGTGCACACCGAACCTCATCCTCTGTCCAGAGTGCGATGGGACCAGCTGTGGCCTCTGCCCGTGAGTTGTTCTTGTGGGGGAACTCCTCGTTCAGAAGCCCTCTGAAGTACTCTTCCCACCTCCTCTTGACTTCGGCTGGCTTCCTCAGGATGACACCATTGCTGCTCTTCACACTTCTTCACCACCCTGATGTCTTGAGTAGCCCGATGCCGGGCCTTAGCCAGCCTGAAGACGAACTTCTCTGCGTTTCTGCTTTCCAACTTCTCGTACAAGGCGTCCATTCTCCGTGTTCTTCGCCTTGGCGACGGCAGCCTTAGCGAGCCTCTTGCAACTTTGTAGGCAGCGAGGTCTTCGGGGCTCCGGGTCTTCTGCCAGCGCTTGTATGCTTCCTTCTTCTGCTTCACGACTCGCTGGACCTCCTCGTTCCAGAACCACGCTGCCTTGTCTCCTCTGAATCCACCTCGCGTCTCGCCCAGTACCTCCTTGGCGCATCGTAGGATGATCTCAGCTGCATTGCCCCAAGTCTGCTGCACTGGTCCCTCTGGGAGACCAACTTCCATTATCCTTCGTTTGAACTCTATGGCTATGTCTGCCAGGAGGGGCCTGTGCTGGGGAGCCAGTTCTTCGCCAGGGAGTACCTTGATGTCCTTCACAGTTTCTGAGGGGATGATCTTCTTACCAGCACATGGTCGATTTCCGTTTGTCTCCCTCCACTGCTGTAGGTTACCTTCTGAGTCTCCCTTTTCGCGAAGAACGTGCTGCAGATTGCCAGATCGTGGGCCGTAGCCAGGTCCAGAACCCTCTCTCCCTCGGCGTTCCTCACTCCTATTCCTCTACCTCCGTGCACCCTTTCCAGGCCTTTTCTGTTACTGCCGACGTGACCACTGCTATGGTGCGGTAGACGCCTGAATCGATCTGATGGCATCGTCAAGGCTGGGGTAGAACTCGTCCTTCTCACTTCGGGGCATCCGGCTTGCGGTGCGTACACGGAGAGTATTGACCAGTACCCCTCCTTCGTGTCTATCCTCACAGCCATGATCCGATCGCTGATCCTGTTCACAGCGGAGACGCATTGAGCGACTCCGCTACCGCTATGGCCACGCCGTTTCCGCTTAGTGTCTTTACCCATTGAGTAGTTTGATGCCGTCTTCTCTCATTCTTTTCCCCAGCTTCCGCCTGGCCTTAGCACCTTTCCAATAGCCGTTCTTTCTGAGGCCACAAGGATCTGTATACTTCTCTGCGCGTCAATCAGAGCCAGCGACCTCCGGGTGATATCCATTAGCGACCCACGCTCAGGCCAAGTCCCAATTCGAACTATCGTTTAGTCGCCAATGGTCGTTTCGGTTCCTGGGCATGTCCGCATGCTTAAACATTCAGACTTCGCAGGCGGGAATCTGCGTGCACTGACGTCCTAGCATTAACACTGATTCTTTTGCGACTTTTAGACATATTTGTTGTGACGGGGGTCTTCATCAGCCGGCCTGTCAACCTGGGCCTGACGCTGGTACTAGAACCATTTTTGCAATTTTTGCAAGGCATGGTTTTAAGCCTCGGCAGGGATCGAACTCGCGGTTTTCAGAGGTGCAGACATGAGTCTAACCTCTTAACCACTCGGTCATGCTTTATAAATTCCGAAATATACAAAGCTGGAAAATTGTATGCGTCGACGATGACCCATCATTCCGTTTAATCCACTCAGAGACTGAAACCGTCACGACCACGCAGCAGATGGAGGAAATGTGATGCGTGTATGAATGTAAGCACTTTAAGACCAAACTTACATACGTGAGCAAGCCTGAGGACTTTAAATGGACACTATAGACGAAAGTTTTAGGATCATTCAGAATAGTGATATTTAATCGTTTTTGAAGCGGGTGTTCTCGTTGAGCGTGGGCGGAACTACGAGTAGGGTTAGCCGTCGCGTTGTGTGATCAACGCTATTCTATTGATGCCCATCATCGTCTCTCCTCCTTCATTGCAAGAACGCCTTCACCACCATGAACTCCCTCCCATGTGCCAAAGCAATATACTGTGCTCATAGAACTTTTGAATATATCGGAGCGCCTAACAAATGCCTTTCAAAGAGGACCCGGAAATATTGAGTGAAGTCCGAAGGAAGAGTGAAACTGCTGATAGTGTGTTTTACTGCACAATTGCAAAAAAAGGTGCAAAAAATGCTGTACATTGGATTTCGCTGTCAGAGCTGTTCTGAAAAGGGCCACACTGTAGACGGGAACTTCCCTTTCAACAAAGTGTTACATATTGACATTTTTATTCGAGGAATACAAATGTTTGAGCCAAATGCTCATGCTGCGCAGGTTATCGTTCACATTCCAGGTATACAAGTGCGATTTAGAAAAAATTGCGCATCGGTTGCTTAATTATGATGGCTCGCATTACCAACTTCATGTGTATGCAGTCAACCACTACGAAGGGTAAACACGTTCTGACCACATTTTGAATCTATTTAGCACAACAAATGATTTTTCTTTTGTTCAGCCCAATTGCCAACATTAGCACATGGCCGTATGAGATGGTAAACGCAACTAATTTTTGGCTCGGTGACTTTCCGTCAATGCAACGGGTAAGGTTCCATCCTTCAAGTGTTGGTCGGCAGGTTCACGCTGCGTTGCGTGGTGAATCGCATTTTCGCTCTAACCGTGCTGCATACGCCCCGTGCGCTTTAACACAGTGCAGCCCGCGTGAATCTCCGAGTATGCACGTCGAAACTCCCACATCTGGCATTTGTGCATCGCCGCGTATGCAGGCACGAAATACAGCTACGTCACATCTGTGACATGCGCTGAAATCGTGCGGGCGTCAATCTGTTAAC